CTGGGCTTTGGATTTATAAAAGCTCCCCAAGTGATGCCATTTTGCAGTGAGGTTCGAGAGCCACCACTTTAAACGGCCCACTCTTCCTCTCCAAAGACTCCTCCTTGGTCAGTGTGGGCGCTTGTTCAAAGGATTGTTCCAGTGCGTGTTTGATAGCTAATCCAACAGTCCAGATCCATTCACCTGAAACTGAAAAAGACCAGGGGTATTGTGTGGACCGTGGTCAGCAGAGCAGCAGCTGACCCCGATGTCACAGCTGGGGGCTATGTTACAAAAGGCTTGGGCTGATAAACAATGACTATTTTTTCCCCTAAAGGCCGGCTGCAGGTACCCACGACCGCCACCAGCACCTTCTTCCTGTTTGGCACAGGCTTGGATAGAAGAAAAAGAGTTTCAATTTTTTTTCTGTTCCTCTGTTATCATTTTCTCAGAACACATAATTGATATAATGTTGTGATTTGAAGGCAGTCCTGTATTTCAGGTTTGAAATCTGCACAGAAATAGGTTACTGGCATTTTTCCCATTTCTTGAAAGATCCTAATAACACTAGAAGACATCCCTTCCTTTAATTTCATGCTCCGCCCCAATCCCATCATATGCTTAAAAAACAATGAAAGAGTAGACCTGGGTCGCTCCTGGGTTGGCGGGCAAAGCCTAGAGCAGTGGCTCACCTGTGGACTCTAAGCCTGCATCGTCATTATCCCTTGAGAACTTGCTAGAAATGCAAATTCCACAACCCACCCCAGGTGTTTTAACAAGCCCTCCAGCTGACCCTAATGAACACTCAAGTTTGAGAACTGCTGGGCTAGAGGTTGAGTTCAACTCGAGAAGCAAACAGACCACGCTCTGCCATCTTCTGTCTCCGTAAGTTTTTCAAACTTTGTGAACCAGTTTTCTCAACTGTAAAGTAGCGATAATAATAATGGTACCTAATCTGTGGAGTTGATGTGAGTTTTAAATGTGTTAGTGCAAGGAAAGTTATTTGCATGCAGATAGCCAATGTCCTATGAATGGTAATCATCATTGTTTGCTATTATTCACTTACGTGCTTTTGTATTAAGTATCATTTATATATTTGTAAACAGTTTTAAGTACATTCCACGTGCCAGTGCAATTGTCTTAGGTAATGTAGATGCCAATTGGGACGAGGTCCCACACTCACCCCCAAGGGGTTTGTTAACGTGCGTCCGAGAGACACAGTGACGCCAAACAAACTGAAACGTAGGAGTTCGGAGCAGAGAGAGGTTTATTGCAAGGCCATGCAAGGAGACAGGTGACTTATGCCCTAAAAAGCCCTGAGCTCCCCGAAGGGTTTCGGCAAAGCACTTTTAAAAGCCGGGTGAGGGGTGGTGTCGCAGGGTCTGTGATCAGCTTGTGCACAGTTCTCTGATTGGTTGATGGTGCAGTAGCAGGGTGGTGTCACAGGGGTTAACATCATCGGTCCTTAGGCTCCAGGAGGCCTGGGGCTCTGTGCTCCTGGTCGTCAAGTAGTTCTTCCATTTGTTGGAGAGGGGGAGGGTTCTTTTACATCTGCAAAACAACTCAGGGAATGTGCATCGAATGCTATTTTCTAGGTACTTCAGAGAGGAGCTAAGGCAGAGGACGTGGGGGAAGGCCCCCATGGGGTCCTGCTCAGTTACAAGTTCTTGATCTAAAGGAAGAGTCAGGACGAACAGAGTTCCTAACTGGAGTACATCAGGCCTTGGGTGGTGTTCTCTTCAGGGAGTCTGGGGGAGGGTAGAGAGGGGAACACTTTGTTCATGAGGAACATGGAGAGCAGAATATGCCACCCCAAAATATGCCTCTTTGGCATAAGGATTACTTTGAGCTGATTATTGTTAAGAAACAGCTGACACGGGAGAAGCTCTGAAAACAGAGTAGAAGTTACCCTTTTATTAGCGACCTTAACATTTATAAGGGAAATCTCCATTTGTTAAGGCGTCTCCCTCTGTACCAGGAAGAGAAGGGTGACTAAATCTCTAGAAACTATCAGTGGCGAAGGCATCAATTTAAATCTGCATAACAGCTTTACCCTTGTTTACTGTGCTTTGCCTGAAAACCTCCCCTTAACTCACTCCCCTCAACCCGACATCTTCTGTCTTTAGCTGAAGATGGTATTTAAAGTGGTGGCTCAGGCCCTTTCGGGGAGATACTCAGTTTTGCTGGGTCTCTCCCATGTACACAGGAGGTGTATACGTGCTGTTAAACTGCTGTTTGTTTTTATCCTGTTAATCTGTCTTTTATTACGGGGCTGTCAGCCAAGAATCAATACCTAGAAGGGCAGAGGGAAAATTATTTTTCCCTTCTACAAACACAACTTAGAGTCTGAGTCTGGAAGCAGAAATTCCAATCCCAGTGTAACAGGGAAGAGACAGATCTGACTACGTGTCGGATCTGTTTCTTTTACTTTAACCTGTGCTTCCCATCGCTTTGGTTCACTAAAAGGATACTGTCTATACATAATGGCTGCCTCGGGGAACCCTGCCCCTCTGCCTGAATGTTAAACCAAAGTGCCTTTGTTCAGGGAAGCATCCGGACCCTGTCCACCTGTGAATGGCTACAGGCAAGAAGAAATTAACACATCCCCCCCCCCCCCAGGCTGGCTATTCCAGGAGATATTTGCAAATCTTATAGTCTTTTTACTTTACTTCCTCATCTCCTCCCCCTCTCTGCTATAAAAGAAACTGGCATCCAAACCCTGATAAGACGGTTATTTTGAGACTGTAGTCTGCCATCTTCTCGGTCTGCCGGCTTTCCAAAGCTGGATAAAGTCGTCTTCCTTGTCTCAACACCTCGTCTCTGATTTATTGGCCTGTCATGTGGCGGGCAGAGCGAGCTTGGTCTCGGTAACACCAGGTCAGCTCCGCCTGGCTGTGAGGCCCCAGGGCATGTCACTTATCTCTTGGCATTGGGTACTTAACCACAAAATGATAGGGTGATCCAAGATCAGTTCCAAGTGTCCTCCCGCTACAGATATCTAAGTTTTAAAACTAAAAACAAAGGAACCCAGTGATGTTGTAACCACTTAAACCACCCATCTGAAAAACAGACACGTTTATGGATCAAGAATATTAAAATGAACATGCAAATGGGGACTGACTCCCTATAGTTCCTGGGAGGGAAATTTTAATCCTTGGAATTTCCTGAGTGATAGAAGCATCTGTTATTCATGGTGGGTCCTTGGACCACAACTGGGTTTATGCTAAGGAGACGACTCATGTGATTAGACCAACCGTTAGCGAATCCAGGCTCGCTCTGCTCGCTGCACGACAGGCCAATAAATGGAGAGACGAGGTGCTGAGGCAAGGAATAGCGACTTTATTCGGAAAGCCGGCAGATCGAGAGATGGCGGACTAGGGTCCCCCCAAAATCGTCTTATTGGGGTCTGGACACCAGTTTCTTTTATAGAACAGAGAGGGGGAGGAGGTGGGGAAGTAAAGTAAAAAGGCCGTTTATCTTGCGAACTAGGAGGGGATGTGTTAATTTTTTTCTTTTCTGCAGCCATTCACAGGTGGGCAGGGTCAAAATGTCTCTTGTGTGAGTTGAACAAAGGCCTTTTGGTTTAACAGTCAGGCAGAGGGGCAGGGTTCCCTGTGACAGGCTATTATGTATGCTTGCAGCTATAGACAGTGATTATAATAACAAAAGCAACGAGAAGCAAAGGTTCAAGTCAAAGAAACAGATCCAATATGCAGTCAGAATTGGCTCTTCCCTGTTACACAACCTGGTAATTAGAGGGTTGGGGCTTTGAGCCAGGTGATGTCAGCTGGACCTTCAGGGAGAGGAGGGGGACTGGATATTGAGTCCAATCATGTAGCCAATTATCCAATTAATCATGCCTATGTCATGAGACCCCAGTAAAAACTCAGGACACCAGGCTTCAGTGAGCTTCCTGGTGAGTGAACACACGTGTGCTGAGTATGACATGCCCTGGTTCCACGGGAAGAGGACACAGCAGCTCTGTGTTTGAGACCCTCTCGGACCTCACCCTATGTGTCTCTTCATTTGACTGGTCCTCATTTGTATCCTTTATCATAAAACTGTAATCTTAGGTATAGAGGTTTCCCGAGTTCCATGAGTCATTCTCATGAATTCTCAAACATGAAGGAGTAGTGGGCCTCCCTGAATTTGTAGCCAGTTAGTCAGAAGCGCTGGTAGCTTGAGGACCCCCAGACTTGCAGCTGGCATCTGAAACGAGGGCAGTCTTGTTGCGGACCGTGCCCTTAGCCTGCTGAGTCCACCCTAACTCCAGGTGGCTAGCATCAGAATGGTATTGCTGAATGGTAGAGATCAAACCAGCTTCTTCCTTCTTCCCGTGGGGGAGGGAAGTTGATGGACCCTCCATTTGCATTTCTATAGGCAATAATTGTTTTGCTATCAGTTACCTCCAGCTTACAGAGTTGTTAAATGGCTTTCATAGACTCAGAATGAGATCATGGGGAAAGGTGAGCTATGGACATGGCAGAGCTTCCCCTTGAAGCGCTGACTTTCCATTACATGCTCTCTTTACCTAAAGAAGAAATAGCACTTGAGACATCATTAAATCCATTCTCCTGCATCTAGGCCAGTCTGACTAAAACCAGCTCTGGCTGACCAATAAACAGTGGTCAAGTCCCAAATTTAAATCTTCAGGGAAGATGAACTCCACTTCCACTGGCACCATATCCCAACATCACAAACCTCCCAACTATGATATTCTTTCAGATGTGTAACTCAGCACAACCCTGTGCACCCAGCGGGCATCAATAATCATGAAATTAGTAAATAAATAACCAAAACCCTCCTGCTGCATCTCTCAAGGCTGCTCTGTCTTCCATATAAAAGATGAGCATCTCATCCACAAAATAACATCCCTTCATCTTCTGAGTCCTTCCCCAGTCCCACACACACTCTGCATTCTGCATGTGGGGTTTGGTATTTCCCTTTATGCTCCCAGCAGTTGTTTAATGTTATTTTTCTTGTTTTGCAGTCAGCTGCTGTTTTGTATATGAAACCAGAAGTTGCTGTCGCACCAGTCACATCACGGGCATCCACAGTCAGCATCTTCCATGTGACTCCAAATCCTGTGCTCACTTGACCTGCTGGGGTCCCAAATATCTACAAAGAAAGAGGTACTTGGGTGTAAGCGCTCAGAGTCATGTGTAAGTCATCCTTTGTGGTTAAAAAATACCCAGAGTTGTCCTCAGAGCAGTGGCTCGCAGAGTATGATCCCTGGGCCATCAGCATCTTCTGGGGGCTTGTTAGAGATGCAAATTCTCAGGCTCTAGCACAGACCTGCAGAACCAGAAACACTGAGACACTGGGGGTGCATCTTAACAGGCTCTCCAGGGGATTCTGATGCACGCTGAAGTGTGAGAACCACTTGTACAGATTTTTAATTGTACTGGAATTTGAAACTCAGTACGGAAAAGCCAGTGGGCTTCATGAAATGCAATTGCTTCTCGTCTCTCTATTTCTGGCTGTAACCTGGAGACACAGGTTTGCCAGCAGAATCTCCTGAGCTTCCCGGCTGAACCTAACAGAGTCATTCTATTCCCTGGTTGAGTCATCTGTTTACCCCAGGACAGACTGCCCTTTGTGTGGGAAGAGGACCATGTCAAACCAGTGGGACGTTTAGAAGTAACATTTTCCTTCTAACCCGCATTTTTCTCAAGTCCACATCTCCATCTGCATGTGGTGAGAGCTTCCAGGGGGCTCAGCTGGGCGGAACCACCACAGTGTCTCCCAGATGTTCTGTGTGTTTGCTTCCAGATGGCTCAGCCCAAGAAAATCTGAGGCAGCGAGATTTCATCCCACTTGTCTGCCTTTAGCCATGGTTCAGAAGGCCCCTGTTACATGCTGTTCCTTGCTATTCACATTCACATCCCACTCGGTGTGACTCATCTTCTGGCATTCATCCCTTGCAGGCAGAGGATGGACTTTTAACCACAGTGCAAAACACCCGATTCTCTCTTATGACATTTAGTTAAACTTCTCTTCCACATCTCCCTAAAGATTGCTGCCAGGGGTGGCATCTTCTCTCGGATGCTCATCTGGAAACTGAAAGTGTCCTCTGAAAAGGGGCAGAGAGGATATTTTAACTGGGGAAAATGTCTTCCACCACTGTGGAACCTAGGAGTGAATGCTGACGGACAGCTTCAAAATGAAGCTGTCATTAGGCACGTCTGATGAAAATGACAGTCCGCAGGTGGCACATCGCTTTGGACGTGTGATCACAAACACCAGCCCCCCTCGGGAGATGAGGTAGAGGCAGTTAGGACTTAAATTTGTTTATCTCTAATTTGCATTTGATGTTGGTATAACATTGGCCCACCAGGAGGTAGAGAGTTGATGAGTTGAGAATCACTGTTTTGCAGAAGAACTACTTTGCCTTCACATCTGTAGAACTGGGCATGCACGTGAACTCTGCATAGATCATGCCAGAGACTCGGATACACTGTAGGGCTCTTAGCTGTGGGAGGGGGCGATTTAGATTTGGAATACGGTGTTCCCAGGAATGATTCACCTACAAGCATTCTCTGTTGCGTTTATGAACGCTTCACCACATTGTTTAGGAGTCCTTAGCTTGAACATACGACACATTCTGCATGCCTGCTTGCCTTGTTGACTATTTTTGGTAGGATCTTTTGGTGCAAAGTCAGTTTCCCAACACTAAATCAAATCTCAGTTGGATCAGTTGTTTTCAAACTTAGCTGAACCTTAGGATCCGTGGAGACTCTTAAAAATCCCAAGGCCCTGGGAATTCCCTGGCGGTCCAGTGGTTAGGACTCCACGTTCCCACTGTCGAGGGCCTGGGTTCAATCCCTGGTTGGGGAACGAAGATCCCACAAGCCTTGCGGCACGGCAAAAAAAACAAAAACAAAAACCCAAGGCCCAGGTTGCACCCCAGACCAGTTACATCAGACCATCTGTGGGTGGGGGCCAGGCATCGGTATTTTTTTAAAAGTCTCCAGGAGATTCTAAAACGCAGCAAATTGAGAACCACTGACTTAGGCAATTTACACGGCCATTGGATGGGTGGTTGGGAAGGGTCTTGTGAGCTCAGGATAGGTGAATCCATTTCACAAGGGAAAGGGGATATTGTGCTATGCTCTGGTAATGAGGCTAAGTGGCAAAAGTTGCCCAGCCTTAAAAACAGGTCATCAGTGATTTTGGAGAAACAGACAGGGTTCTCTCCCACCCCCCAGCCTGTAAGGTTTTCTCCTACCTATGAAAGCATTCACTCTTGAATCCTTTGTGCCTAAACACAGCTGATATTGAAGCCAAATCCAGCCTCTGTACCCCAACACCGAATTAAATCTTGGAGGTAGAGTTTTGGGTGAAGTAGAAAAGAATAGCTTTATTGCTTTGCCAGGCAAAGGGGGCCACAGCAGGCTAATGCCCTCAAAACTGTGTGTCCCCACCTGGAGGGGGTAGTCAGTTTGATAGTAATGGTTCACAGAGGGTGGGATCAGCTCGTGGACGTTCTTCTGATTGGCTGGTGGGGAGGTAAGTGGGCGTCAGCATCATCAACCTTCTGGTTCCAGCTGGTCTGGGGTCTACGTGCTTGTGGGCAGCATGCAGTTCACTTCTCTCACCTGGTGGAGTTTCAGCATCTGCAAAACAGCTCAAAGATATTGTTATGTGTGTGTGTCCCTTGAGGGGAACCAGGACCCTGCCCCAAGGCTGCACTGTTGTTTCTCTTGATTGTTCCTGCCTTGTCTCTGCATCCCCTTCCTTCCCTAATTAGCACCGACCTGGTGGAACTCAGGGAAGGTCAGGGGGGCTGAATGAAGCCTATTGCCTGTAATCAAGAAATGGGGGACACGGAAGGGCTTTCGTGCCCAGGAGCTCCACAGGGTCCTGCTCTGTAAGGATGTCGTTGTTGAAGATAAGCGAAGATGAATACTTAAACTAGTGGTTTTCGATTTTGACTCCATGTTAGAAGCCCTCGGGGAGCTTTAAAACTCCAGCTGACCTGACCGCACCCCAGAGCAATTAAATCAGGGTCTTTGGCTATCAGGCGTCAGGATACTGAAAAGGTCCCATGGGTCATTCCAACTTGCAGGCAAGGTTGAGAGCCAGTGGCCTAAAACAGTGATCCTCAAATTTCCTTGCTGTAGGGGAGGAAAAATAATTTCCCTCAACCCTTCCGAGTTCTTAGCTGAGACCCTGTGATAAAAGATTAACAAGAGAAATACCAAGAGAAGTTTATTGACATGTATACCTCACGTATACATGGGAAATACCCAAGGAGGATGAGTAACTCCTTGAGGTGGCCCCGAGATGGCCTAAGTCACCACCTTAAATACCACCTTCCGCTAAAGACAAAAGAAAAGTGGTGGGAGAGGGAGTCCAGTTATGGGAGGTGACCAGGAAAAGCACGGTAAACAAGGGTAAGTTTTGTTACTAAGGCAATGCCTTCTCCATTGATGAGTTTCTGGTGATTTAGTCATCTTTCTCTTCCTGGTAGACAGAGGGAGACCCCCTTACAAATAGAGACTTCCCTTGTAAATGTAAATGCCCCTTACAAGAAGGTAACTTCTACTCTGTCTTCAGAACGTCTCCTGTGCCTGCTGTCTCTCAAAATAATCTTTGTGCCAAAGAGTACAGCCTCTCTGTACACCGGTGCCACATCGAATCTTGGAGACAGAGGTTTGGGTGAAGTAGTAAAGGATGGCTTTATTGCTTTGCCAGGCAAAGGGGGACACAGCAGGCTCCTGCCTCGAAAACCTATGTGTCCCAACCCAGGAGGATTTGAGGAGGAGTTTTATAGCAATGCTTCCCAAGGGTGGGGTTGCTGACAAGATGAGGGTGTGTGCAGGGTCTCAGGTGGTGGGTCTTCTAACTTTGATGAGCTTCTCTGGTCCCTTTAATCTTGCCTCAGGGGTTTTCCTGGCTGTCCCTCTCTTGATTAGGAACTGTTCTAATGTGTCCTTTGGAACTCAGGGAAGGTCATGGAGGCTGGTGTCTTGCCTACAAGAAAGGGGGACCAAAAAGAGGCCTCCATGCCTGGGAGCCTCACAGGGCCCCGCTCGGTTTCAGAAGGTGAGAGAATATAAGAAGGCATCACAATTTAATCCCACCTGGTCAGTTTGCCCAAATCCTGTTCTTTCCAGTGGATAGAAATAGCTGTGTCTCTGGCTAGACATTAATGCTGGAACATAAAACATCCTGAGAACAAGCCGCGTTCTCGTATTCGGGGACTCAGTGTGAAGATAACCCTCAATCAGAAAGCTCCAAGTCAGCACCTTCCCTCACCTCCCTTCAGGCTCTATTTTATCAATTCCTATTAAGCGACATTCTTCATCCCCGAAGAATTGTCCTTAACCTTAGCCACACGTTAAGATCACGAGGGGAGATTTGAAACTCTCAATGCCCAGGCCATACTCTAGAGTATCAGAGTCTAGAGGAGTGGGAGGATGGGAAGGGGGGGTGGTAGTACTTTTTAAAATTGAAATTTGTATTGAGATCATTGTAGATCCCAGCGCAATGGTTTTAGTTTGCATTTCGCTAATGGCTGATGTTGTTGAATGTCTTTTCATGTGCTGATTTGCCGTCTCTGTATCCTCCTTCAGTGAAATATCTGTTCATGTCTTTTGCCCATATTCTCATTAGATGATTTGTATTTTTACTGTTGAGTTTGAGTCTTCTCTGGGTAGTCTAGATATGCGGTTTGCCAGTATTTTCTCCCAGTCTGTAGTTTGTCTTCTTCAGTGGGCTTTCACAGAACAAAAGCTTTTAATTTTCATGAGTCCAGTTTATCCATTTTTCCCTTTATGGATGGCGCTTACGGTATAAAGTCTAAGAACTTGCTGCCTAGCGCTGGATCCTGAAGCTCTTCCCCTATGTTTTCTTCTACAAGTTTATAGTTTGACATTTTACATTGAACTCTGTTGATCCATTTTGAGTCAATTTTTGTATAAGATGTGGGATTTAGGTCTAGAGTTTTGTTGCTTTGTTTTTGCCGATGGATGTCCAAGCATCAGTAATTTTTAACAGGTCTCCAGCGTGATTTCCATGTGCAACCAGGGTTGAGAACCAGTGGCCTGGTGATTGAAGGACACACCTGTTAGAAATCTGAACTCTCAGATTTTTCAGGAGCAGCGTCACAATAGGATTTAGAAGCAAC